GGCCATGGAGCGGTACAAAGGTGAGGGCGCGGGACTGGCGCAGCCCCGCGCGGGGAGGGAGGGCGCAGGCCGGTCCCCGCCGCTCGGGTGCGCAGAGCCGGCTGTCCCCACCCCGGGGCCCTGGGACAAGCGGCAGCGACAACGTGGGCCGGGCAGGTGGGCTCCTAGGTGGTGGCCGCGGCCCAGGTCCTGTGATCTTCGCGTCCGCTGAGCGCAGGGCTCGGGGAAGGTCTCCTCCGAGGCGTTTCACCTGTAGGAGGGAGGGTGTGCGCGTGTGCCCCCGCCCACCACTCAGTCTGCCGCCAGAAGACAAGATGTCTCGAGTGGGGGACGCCCCAAGTCAGGTCGCCTCCGTGCCGCACTGCTGGGGGCAAAGGGACGAGTTGTTGGATCCAGCCTCTCGTGGACAGCCGGGCCGGTGGGCTCCGTACGGATCCCCGGAAACAGCCTGCCTGGCGGGAGGAAAGAACTTAGGCTGGTGGGGTGGCGCTCGGCTCATCTGGCTAGCTCGGGCCTCCCCCGACGTCCCGCAGCCGGGGTAAGCGGTTCTGTCCCAGCGCTTCTCCGCTCGGCACCCCCAAGCTGGGTGGGGTGTGGATGTTGGAGCCCGGGTGGGTTGCCCAGCAGGTGGAGCGGAGGCTCAGCCCAGTGCGCAGCTGATCCAGTTTTGGACTTGGCCAGGGTCTGAGAATCCTGGCCAGACCCTGATGGGCGGGCCGGTCCTGCAGGGTCCGTGCCCAACTGGCACGGGTTTTCGGAGCCCAAGGCATGGAGGTCTAGAAGCCTCGAATTGCAGGTCTTTTTAAAGAGGCGCTCAGAGAGCTGCCCCTTAAGCTGGACGCTGCGGGCGTCCCAAATCCGCCTTTCCTTTGGAAAAACCTCTTGTGCTGTGTTGGGCTGGCCTGGCCCAAACTGCGAGGAAATACTGCTTCTATATTTGTTTTCCCTTGGGAGAGGGAAAAAAAAAAAAAAAAAAAAGGAGAATGATCAGATTCCCAAGGAATCAGTACCGCGAGGGTTTCTTACTTCTGCAACAGACATGAAAGGACTTTAGGGGCCGGCTTTAGTTCTCTGAATACATGGGTGGTTTTTTTTGACTTTCCTTTTTCTCCTCCGGGTCGTTTGGTCACCAGTGAGGGCTAGAGACCCAAATCCTAGCTAGGGCTTCGCCTGTGAAGGTAGGTGCTTGGCCCGCAGCAGGGGCTGGCCGAGGTGGGGGAGATGGACAGTAGTGTTCAGTTAATTGGCAACCTTGGATTTCTTTCTGTGACCGTCCCTGGAGCCTCTCCTATTTCTAACTGGGTGGGGTTTTTTGTTCCAAATTCTCCTGGGATCACGGTGGTTTTTGTCCTTGAGTGGCCCAGTGCACCTTATACTGTCTCACGTACTGGAGCAGCCACACTCTCTCTCCTCTAAGATGGCAGTGTTGCTGTCCCTTCAGGCTTAGGTGCCTCCATTCTTAAAAGGGAGGGGCGGGGTTCAGACCTTGAATTGACAGAAGAATTGGCCTAAAATCCCTTCAGCTTCCCAGACCTGTGAAGCGGAGGAGGTGTTGACCCCAGACTGAGGGTCCTGCTTGCAAACTACTTTCTGACCTCAGCAAATGATAGGTGGGGTCTTTTAAAGGCCTATTTTTTCTTTAAGACAGGGTCTCACCATGTACTGTAGTTCAGGCTGACTTTGAACTCATTATGTAGCCCAGGCTGGCCCAGAACTCCTGGCAGTCCTCCTGCCTCAGCTGCTTTGAGTGCTGGGATGAGAGGCACAGGCCACCTCACATGGTTCGAATACCTAATGCCTACTTATTATGAGCAGGTTTTTCTGTTAATAGTTTCTGACTTGGCCCGCTATAAAACTTCTTGGCTTTTCTCTCCTCAGGAGCTGAAAATCCTCCCACCCTCAAAGAGGATCTGTTAGGAGTTTCTTGCCAGCTGAAAGAATTGTGTTTGTTTTGGAGAACACATGTATCTGCCTCATTATTTTGCAGTAAATCAGGCACATAGAGATAAGTGGATAAATTTGAGAATTATCTGGATTGCAGAGGCTAATCCAACTCATTTTCCACTGTTTCACTCAAAGGGGAAAAAAATCTTTATTTCAAGTCTTGTATGGTGTCAAGCGCCAATATTTTTGTTTTACCTTTCATTTAGGAATTTGAGGAGCTCGCCCTTCCCCAGGGATGTAGAATTCCTCCATTCTTGAGAGGCAGATGAGCTGTGCTCTGAAAACCGATTGAGTAGAAACTGCAAAATGCAATCCGTGTAGAAGGAAGGATTGCTAATGAACTAGTGTCACTTAACTAGAATCAGTGGTCTCTGGCTTGTCAGATTGGAGCTTTTTAATTTTTTAAATCTAAGACTGAATAGTTATGAATTAACTAGATACAATGGTTTCAACAATAAAGTTAAATGGAAAAGCAAGGTTTACTTTGCTTCTCAGAGCCTATGTAAAAAATTATAAAGCACAATTCTTATGATAATGCCTCCTATGTTTTTAAATTCCCAATTTGGAGATCTCTTTCTCCAGGATAAGTAGAACACCCACCACTGTCTTCAGATTCTCAAAAGGTTTTCTCTGCTTTGTCAGTCTTAGGAAGTGCTTGCTGTAGGAGGAATTGTTTTCCCATATTTCCTAGCCTACTTGTTAACCATTATACATTCTCCCAAAATTAGGAGATTCTTTGCATTTTCTAGCTCTGGCCTGACATTCCATTGTCTTGTAGGATGTAAGGAGAGGCCCAGAGCTCAAGCATCATTGGGCTATCACTCTGTGCCTCATCCAGAAAAACTTCCAGACTTTCCTCCCAGGCCTTTCCAAGCCCTTCTGCTGGACGGCTATGGCTTTCTCAAGCATTAACAAGGGGTGTGGAGTATGTGGGTTCCCTTTCTAGAGGGATGGAGCTTTTATGAGAGTCGCCATAAAAAAGTGGTGGTACAGTTGGTGTGTCTTATATGTGAATCTCTTGGTGCTGTATAAGCAGTATGAACTGGGTGTGGGGTGCACACCTATAATCTCAGCACTCGGGAGTCTGAGGCAGTAGGATTGCTGCAAGTTCGGGGCCAGCTTGGGCCGCATAGTGAGTCTAGGCCAGCCTGAACTGCATAGTGAGACCCTGTCTCAAAAAAAAGCAGTCTGACTGTTACAAATGTCCCGGATATGGTACCACATCCTACAGGGTGCCTTGAAATGATTCCCATCCTTGAGTGTTTACATATTTATGGCTCTTCTAAGAGCATCCTGTATGCCTGTACATGAGTCCATTGGCTGAACCCGCCTCATATGATCAAGGATTCTGGTTCCTGCTGCTCTCCCAGCTGGTGAGTGGGTCCAGGGCCAAGTGTGACTGACCTACTATCTGTGGATTGCGCTTGGAACATCACGCTGAAGCTTCCTGAAGTTGCATCACACTTGGATCTAAGCAGGCCTGGTTGAGATATTCAGACTTCACTTTGGATCACAGTAATTGGTGGTTGACACTGATTTCCTCTTTTCCTATCTTCTCTAGTTCCGAGTCTAATTCCCTACTTCCCCATTTTGCTGTAGGGCACTGGCAGGGGAGAAGAACTGTGAAGAGCCAGCCAGGCAAATGCTTGAAGGCTTGCCTGGAGCTTCAGAAATCTGTGGTCAGGGAAGGTCCAAAAAGGAAAACCTAATTAGGAGAGATGGGCAGATTGATAACCTGCATTCCGCCTTCTAGAACCATATCTTTCCATGCCTGTAGGCTTAGGTTTTCCCTATTGAAGTTCAACCCAAGGTAGTAGTTTTTAACCTTAGCTACACATGGACTCACCCAGGGCTCTCTAAATACAGATGAGGGGATAGGATATGGACATATTAGGCCTCACCTGCCATTTGTTTAGGAGTATGGCTTGGGCACTGTAGTTTTAAAGGTTCTGCAAGTGATCCTAATAGTAGCCATATTTGAGAACCATATTTCCTTTAAGAAATACCAAAACAGCAAAAAAAAAGTGTAGTTGTCCCTTGGTGTCCAAGGAGTTGGTTCCCGGATCCCCAAAGATGCTCAACCTGTCATGTAAAATGGTATAATATTTGCATATAACCTACACACATCCTGCTGTATACTTTTAATCATCTCCAGATTACTTAAAATACCTAATACAATAGAAATAAATAGTTGTTATCCTGCATTGCTTAGAGAAGAATGACAAGAAAAATGTCCGTGTTTAATACAGACATAGCCATTGTAGGGCTAGCTACATAGTAGGGGAAGCAAAAACCTGACATATTTTTCCCCAAGTGTTTTTGAACCTTGGTTGTTGAATCCGAGGTTGCCGTGCAGTGCGGACTGTAATTATCTAAACATGTTCCTCACCTGGAAAAAATAACAAATGTGGAATGAAAGGGGTGCCTCCTCCTACTCATAGGATGTGCCTTCACCAAAGTTTGTAAGACCTGCAGAAGTCAAACGTCATTTACCTGCAGCTGTTTTAGGCTTTAAACGGCTCGGCTCGGAGAAGGCTGTTTAAAAGCATCTGAGTTGAGCCTTCGAATCAATCCCAAGCTCGGGGTTTGTTCATTGTACTTGACCCTGAGCGCTCCTGTCTGTGAAGCTCTTTGTGTGGGAGCCCTGGGTGCCGAGGCACCGCAGTGGTCTCAGACAGAGAGAGCGTGAGGTCACTGTTGGTGCAGAAAGGCCCGTGTGTGGGGGATTCTGCTCTGGTTCCTTTCCCTCTCCTGAAGGGGTAGGAGACCTGGGAACTGGACCAGTTCCAGCACAATTAAAGGGGCAGGAGGGGCCAAGGAGCTTCAAAGCTGAGGAAGTTGTGCCCATTTTCTTCAAAATCCCTTTAATGACAGGAAATGCTTCTCAAAGACTTCTGTCCTTGGTGGGGGGAAGCAGACTTTCCCCAAATCAAGGGAGGATGGCACGTTCAGTCAGGAAGGAGAGTGGCCAAGGACAGCGGAGAAAGCAGTAGTGCAGGAGCCTGGAGACCCAACTGCTCTGGGTCTTCGGTCAAACCCCTGAGCGCCCCAGGCCTCAGTTTCCCCACCGAGAGAACAGTGTGAGTGTTCCCCATGTGACTTTCTGAGTGCTCTTCCACGCTAGCTGCTCTGTGGTCACCGAGGAATCTTTGGAGGGAGGATGTGTCTGAGGAGGGGAGCAAAGTGAGGCAGGGAATGGGGTGGGTCGCCCCCGCAAGGGTCAGTTTAGGATTGTGATTCTTATAAATAAAACCAACTTCCTGTTGAGACCGGGAGAGCCGCAGACTCGGTGGGAAAGAGAATGCCATAGGCTATGCAAGGAATTCGTCTCTCAAGGACTTGTATGGAACTGTGTCTCCAAAGATTGTTTAACCCACAACTGGGTCTGTGTCTGAAACCCTGAAAATTATTCACTCCCATTTGAGAGACAGGTCAGCTGAATCTGCAGAGATGAAGCCACAGTTCAGAGACTCAGAAAGAGGATCCAGTACCCTTGAGAACTAAGTTTCTCGGAGGAGAATTCCTGTGCAAGAATTTGTTTCAAAGGAAGTGCTCCAAGCAGGGTGGCACACATTCCTTCTCAGTGTCCCTTTAACTGGGGAGGAACTAGCTGCTCATTAAACTCTCCTGAGTCTTCAGGACCAAACCCACAAGTCATTTCTTCCACAAAGCCTCCCTGGGCCCTGGGTGCCCCCGTGACTTTTGGTATAGCCTCCTCATTGCTGGATATGTCCTAGATCCTCAACAGGTATGTTGTGTTAATGGCACGTTGTCCTAAAATTGTGTGTATATATCTGTTTTGCCTGCTTGGTTGAGCTCCTTCAGAGACAGGGGCGTTGTCTTTCCCTCCCAAGTGACCCTCCCAGTCCCCAGTCGCACAGTAGGAGCCAGGAACATAGTTGAGGAATGGGTGAATGAATGAGTCTCAGGCCCAGACTGCATACTGGTGCTCCGGCCCCGCAGAGCAGACCCGGTTCAGGAAGAGAAATCTCAGCGCCAAATCCTAAAAGTGGAGGTGGAAGCCATGGTGGCCGCCCTTGGCTTCCCCGACTTGAGCCTTCTTTCTGTCTGTTCCAGCCCAGGGGTGTTGCTGTCTGGTGGTACAGAGAAGGACCCTGCAGGGCTCTGCCTGTGAGTATGAGCCTATCTGTGCCCTCTGCAGCAGCTCCCCTGGCCCCGGGCCCCCGAGGACGCAGACCTCGAGCTTAGCTCGCCCCCTGCGTGCATGGAGGGCCGGGAGAGAACATCGAGCCCTGTGCCGGCCTGCGCACTCCTGGGCTGGGGCTTCTAATCTGGCTTTTGCGACTAACTTGCTTTCAACCTTGGGCAAGTCTATGAATCGCTGTGGTCCGTGTTTCCTCCTCTGTGCCAGTGAGCATAATGATTACTAATGGGCCTCCCGGGATACTTGGTTGAATAGTCTGGAAGAGCTATTTATAAATACTTTGAGAAAGGGAATGTTAAACAAACTCAGGGGGCAGGTACCCTAAAATATCTGTGATGTGTGCCATGTGTGAGTCCTTACAGTTCACTTGCGTGCCAGCTGCACCCATCATGTGCTTTTCCAAGTTTTGGGACCTCAGCGTTGGGGCTGCTCCCTCAGTTCCCAGTTATTCCCGTTGCCCAGAGACAGCATCCCTGTAACCCTTCCTTGCTGGCTGGAATGGAGCGAGGCAGGGAAGTCCTCACTCTACAGCCCTATCTGTAGAGCCCCAGCCTGGTCCTGCCTGATTTTCTCTGATGTCTCAGGTCAGTGACATAGAGACCCTTAAATTTCTAACAGTAGCTTTGAGCCCTTGCTAATTTTTATCAATTGCTTCTCAAGTTCTCCTTAGTTGCAAAACAAACTAATCAGAAACATCATTGGGTAGAGAGGGTGGAGAATGCAGCAAGGCAGGGAAGAACTAGGATTGCCCTGGCTGCACTGGATGAGTGCACATACACAGCGAGTCGTGGCACCTTGATGTCCAGACTCCGTGTGGGACTAAGTATTTGAGAGGAGTGGGGGCAGGGCACCCCCACCAGCTGAAACGCTGTGCTTTTCTAAACAGACCCCAGAATTCCCTGCTCACTTCCTGGAGGCCCTCCTAGGGACTTCCGGGGGCAGCTGCAGGCCTGGTGGAGGGTGAGGAAGCTCAGCCCCAGCCAATTATACATCAGCCTTGTTCAGGTTATTAAACCAAAGAGGCAGCTCTTAGCTGGGGAGAGCACCCTGCCATGCATCAGCAGGCCCTGGAGGTGGTTTTCCCAAGTCAGGTGACCAGCTGTCCGCCTCATTTTCATGGGACTTCGCTGGTTTTACCCCTGAAAGCTTCACATCCCAGGAATATCTTTAGTCTTGGGCAAACTGCCATGATGGGTTACGCTTTTCCCAAACCTCAGCTTTATTGTGTGCCTCTAAATCAGGAATTTAGTTTCTCTATTGCAAAGGTGAGCTAGAGTCAATGATTTAGTCTCTGATAAGAAAATCTGAGGCTAAAAGATGAGCAGATCTTAACAACACTAAGGATACACACTGCAGTGCTGCCGTATACACCTGACTCACAACCCTACACGTTATGACTCTGTGTATCTATCTTTCTGGAAAAGGCAAAGCTACCTGAGGGTAAGAACATAGATAAGTACCTTGGCTGCTGGGGCTGGGCTTCATGGACCACAAAGGGGTCACTTTTGGGATAACAGAGATGTTGTATAACTTTCAATTGTGGTGGTGGTTACCCAGCTACATGTATTTGTTAAAACTCAAACTATGTAGCTAACAGGGGAGCCCTGTTTTGTTTTTGTCTTTGTTTTCTGTGCATAAATTACACATGAGTATACCTGCCTTGTAAAACCACCCTGTCAGTCAGATGCAGTGGTATATGCCTGTCATTCCAGCAGTTAGGAAGCTGAGACAGGAGGATCATGAGTTTGAGTGAGATTGGGCTACCTAGTGAGATGCTACCTAAAAAAATGAAACACAACACCCTATCACAGTGTGATGCTGCAGTATAAGACAGAGGATCCATCTACCACAAGGCTGATCGTTGCAGGTTGTAAAAACTAGCAAGGGCTCAAAGCTACTGTTAGAAATTTAAGGATCTCTATGTCAGTGACCTGAGACATCAGAGAAAAATCTTGGTGTGATTGTGCCTCTGGTGGAGCTGAGGGAGAGCAGAAGAGTGTGAAGAATTCTGGCACCAAATAAAAAGATAAGGACTCATGCTTGACAGTATCCGCAATGCCAGAGACTTTTCCAGTAGGCACAATCATTGTACTACTGAAAGCTATCGCTCTATTTAAAGAAAAGGAAGAGAAATTCCCAGCAGCAGATGAGCTCAAGAGGGCCTGGGCTATCAGAGCAGTGGCTCCCTGCTGCTCCCCACACATGGACCTAATGCATTGGCTTTGGCAGCCTTTCTGCAAGTCTTCTTGATCTTCATTGAAGTTACTGGATTGGAATTGAATGCCCACATGTGCACCATAATTATTTCCTAGTTGAGCTGTCAGCAATCCTGCTTGTCTATCTTAGCTAAGATGGATTTTGAGGGGGAAGAACCCATGAGGTATCCAAATAATGCATCTAGTGATGGAAAGGCTTAGTCCTTTGTTTACAAGCAAGAAGCCTCAGGATGCAAGCACAACATCACAGCCCTCACTCCAGCAGGTCAGGGGACAGGATGTGATGTCCTCTAAGAATGAAGGCATATCACCCTGTTGGTCCTCATGAAATCATAAGATCTTGGTGTTTCCTTTATTTTTTTAAAATCAAAACCCATGTCAAATTGGCCTGTTCTTCAGGTGAATTTTGCTGGGCTGTGTCCCCTGGGAACCTGGGTCTTCATTAAGTACAATACGTTGGGCAGCTTGGAATGTCCATTCATTGAGGACCGGGTTATGGTCAGCTGTGAAGTTACCCAGGAAGATTTCGCACATGCAGCTCTTTTTAATCATACATGTCCAAGCCACTGGTCACCCACAAAGGTACTTTCCTGTTCCACCTACTGGGATGTTTTGGAAGAATTACAGAGTACTAGCTGGTTCAGTCCTTGGTTTCGGTTGCCTTGATGTTGTTGAGAGCGCAGAGATTGGAGGTGCAGGAAGTGATTTGGTACATATTTGTAGTGCAATTTCCTGGATGTAGGGTCAGGTGTGGCTTGAGGCTGGTCCGCCTAAGAAGGACCAAGCTCAGGGCAGCTCAGGGCCCACTTTGGATATGAGGGCAAGAATGGGAGGGCTGCCGTATGCAGAGGGACAGCTGAGAGTGTGTGGGCGAGGAGAGTCCGGATACATCGTTACCTGGTGGTAAACCACCGCCACCATCTCCCAGGGCTGCTCAGTATTCTGGCATCCTTTTGGGTCCTGGGGACTGTCTTCGCCTTCCTGCTAGACCAATAAGTAGGAACTTTGCCATTTCCTTCTACCCCCTTCCCCCCACCCAGTTTTTACACAACAGGATTTATTCATGTCAAACCGTATTCAAGTCTCCAGATGGGGGCAGAAAAAAAAGATTGTGTTGAATGAGCTTATTGTTTGGAGGTTTCACTGACTTCTTTTATTTAATGCCCACAGTCCTAGAACATATTGAGCTGTTTTACTGAATTTCAAATGTGGTCTTTTAGGAAGAGATTCTACTCTATGAGTTGGTATCCCTGGTTGCGGGGCTGGCACCTTTTGGGTAGCAAGTTTGCTTGGGGCGTCTCACCTTCACCTTCATGGTCTTGGGTCTCCTCAAGGGTAAATATTCTGATACAGACCCACACTCCCTGTGAGCTGGAGCTCGTTGCTGGTTGCCACCCTCCTGCTTTTTGTATTGTCAGCACCTTTGTGGCATTCTCTACGAACACTTACTTTGAAAACATAAAGAGAGGCACCACCACTAGGCACAGCAGTTTACAGAATTCCCTTGTGGATTCTGCTTGGCTTTCTCCCTTTCTTTCTTTCCTTTTTTCTTTTCCTTCCTCTTCCTTCCCCTTCCTTTTCTCCCTCTCTTTCTCCTTCTCCTCCTCTTGCCTCCTTCCAGTCGTCCCCTTCATGGTAGCAAGTGCTGGGGGTTGACACTGAGTTACATCATTAGCTCTTTTTTTATTTTGAGACAGGGTCTTGCTCAGTCACTAAGTTGTCCAAGCTAGGCTTGAATTTTAAATCCTCCTGCCTCAGCCTCCCAGAATGTTGGGATTGTAGATGTGCACCACCAACTGTGCTTCTTAATAAAGGGAGAAGAAATAAAGGATGGAGAAGGGGCAAATGTTGGGTAGAAGCACTAAATATCAAACAGCCTCATGCCTATTGCTCTACTGCCTAAGGCAGGATGGCCACTTCTTGATGGGCACAGCAGAGCTGGTCCTTCCTCAGCCTCACTCTGTGCCCCAGCCACACTGGACTCCTACTAGTTGTCCACTCTGAACTTTTGGGAATGCCTGAAATGCACTCCTCATAGGACTGCCTGGCAAGCTTATTTTCCAGGGCTCACTCAGCCGTGATGCCTTGATCTCGGCATGCTTTAGAGAGGGCATCCCTACTGTGTGTGCTTCTGGCATGGAGGCTGAGGACCTCAGGGAGGTGGTCAGGTGCGGTGGTCCATATGGCTGCAGCACAGCTGCATGGTGACGCTTCTAGGTGACTGAAGCCTTGGGGATCTCCTGAGAGCACTAGCAGGGATACTTGAGCTGGGTGGGGCTCATGCCTCATTGGAGTCCTTGGAAATCTGTCTCTGGCCTGGGACAGAGCAGATCAGGCTAAGCAGAAAACCATGTGCACAAGAGTGTAGGCTGCTTCATTATGCCTGGTGGGTGCACACAGGCCCATGATCTCTCTCTCTCTCTCTGTCTCTCTCTGTCTCTCTGTCTCTCTCTCTCTCTCCTTCCCTTTTTCCTGCTCTTTTGCTTCCTTGTCCATTCCTCTTGACTGTCTCCCACTTCCTCCCTCTCCTTTTTTCTGCCAGTTCCATTTTGATTTTTTTTTTTGTACCAGGAATTGAACTCAGGACCTCGGGCTTGCCAGGCAAGTGCCGCGCCGCTGAGCTAAATCCCGAGCCCATTTTGCAAGGAGTCTTGAGTCTAGAAAAGAGATTGGCACTAAGAATCTGAGGCCAGAAAAATCCATAAAAGAGAGCACCCACCGCCATCCTGTCCCCCAGGCTCTGGTAGTCA